GTTCCAGTTTAAATTTTAAAAGTTTAATGAATTCTAGAGGGTTTTTTTCCCCTTCCTTGGTGAGCTGCAGGGCGCTGCTGACTGATTCCCATTCCTGGGTGGATCCTGAAGCTTTGTTCTCTTTGCAGGTCTCCATCACCACCCCCTCGCAGACGTTCTCCCTCTCCACGGAGATACTCCCCCCCAATCCAGAGGCGATATTCCCCATCTCCCCCTCCCAAGAGGAGAACAGCTTCTCCTCCTCCYCCTCCCAAAAGAAGAGCCTCTCCTTCCCCCCAGTCCAAGCGCAGAGTCTCCCACTCGCCGCCGCCAAAACAGAGGAGCCCCCCCAGTGCTAAACGGCGCTCCCCTTCCATATCTTCCAAGCACAGGAAGGGGTCTCCTCCCAGCAGATCCAACAGGGAAGCACGTTCCCCACCACAAAACAAAAGGCATTCACCTTCACCACGGCCTCGAGCTTCCCACCCCTCCTCCAGCCCTCCTCCACCGCGCCGGGGAGCGTCGGCGTCGCCACAGAGGAGACAGTCACCCTCTCCCAGCACCAGGCCCATCAGGAGGGTGTCCAGAACGCCAGAACCCAAGAAAACAAAGTAAAAAAATCCTTCTTAGCTGGTTTGGGTTTGATGAGGGGTTGTTGTTTGGTTGTAATGCAGTGGAAGTTGCTAAGAAATGCCAGAATCCCAGAATGCTGAGGGCTGGAAGGGACCTTAATGGCCATCCAGTGCCACCCCTGCCATGGCAGGGACACCTCCCACTGTCCCAGGGTGCCCCAAGCCCCGTCCAGCCTGGCCTTGGGCACTGCCAGGGATCCWGGGGCAGCCCCAGCTGCTCTGGGCACCCTGTGCCAGGGCCTTCCCACCCTCAAAAGGGAAATTTTTTTCCCAACATCCCGCCTAACCTAACCTAACCTTGCCCTCTGGCAGTGGGAAACCATTCCCCCTTGTCCTGCCTGCATAAAAAGCCCCTCTCCCTTTTTATAAACACCCTTAAGACCCTGGAATGCTTCTGTGAGGTCTCCCCAAAGCCTTCCCTTTAATTTCTGGCTTTAAAGAAAAACTAAACTGTGGAAAGGAACCAACACATCTCATTAACACAGAAATAATTTTATAAGTGGTCGCTCAGGATAAACTGCGGAGATTGGGATTTTTTTTTGTCTTTAGTGTGATGCTGCTTTTATGAGCAGACTGTGAAAGGTGTGGTGCTGCCTTAGTATTTTTTCCCAAAGGAAGATACAGCTGAGTGGAGAGCCTTTCACTTTGCATGATGGTAAAAGAGCATTGCTGTTCTTTGATTGTTCATGTGGTTATATTTTAGTGATACCAGAAAGGCAGCAATCAGTTCTGAGCAGCAGCAGGGCTGTTTAACAAACTCTCACTCTGCATCCTGGATCCACTCTGCTCTTGGATTGTTTTGTGGTTTTTAACACATCAGCAAAGCAATTGATGATCTTTGAAGTGACAGCTTGACCAAGTTAAAGCACATGTGTTCATTTTCTTGTTTYGTGTGTCTAATTGTGACTCTTGTGGTTCTCAGGGCTTCCACCCCCAGCCCCCGGCGCGTGTCCTCGTCCCGATCTGCGTCAGGGTCACCTGAGACAGCTCCCAAAAAACACCAAGGACCTGCATCTCCTGCTCGCTCTCGCTCTCCTTCTGCAAACTGGTCACCTGCAAAAAAGGCCAAGAGCCCAACGCAGAGCCCATCACCTGCCAGGGTATTTGTTTGTTCATGAAGCAGCACTTCTTTGGCTTCTGGGGCAAGATATTGTCAGGAAGGCTGAACTGCTGAGCAGTTCCAGGGTTATTCATGGGGGAAACTGCTTGGGGTCATTTTTCAGAATTAAAAACAATTTGCTGTGTAAGTTTTTCAAACTTAACATCTCCAAATCTGGAAAAAAATGCTATTCTATAGAAAATCAGACTTCTGGGAAAAGAAGTCTTTCCCATTTCATGATTGTACATGAGTTTCATGGCCTACAATGGGTGTTGGCCCTTTTCAAGCTTATTTAATGCTCTGTGCAAACTCAGAGTATTCCTGATGGGAAGGAAACGTTATTTGGTATCTTCATCTCTTCTTCTGAGKTGTTTCCCAGGGACAATTCCATTCTTTGACAGAGAATTTTGAAGCCTTAGAGATGAGTTGTAACATCTGTTGAATTATTTATTCCAGAATTCAGATCAAGAAGGTGGTGGCAAGAAGAAGAAGAAAAAGAAGGATAAGAAGCATAAAAAGGATAAAAAGCACAAGAAACACAAAAAGCATAAGAAGGAGAARGCAGCAGCAGCTGCAGCAGCTGCTACTGTGGCTACAGCAGACACCACCTCAGCACAGGAAGACCAGGAAGCAGAGACAGAACCCAAAAAGGTAAAAATTTGGGACCTGGGCTTGACTTTGTACGGAGAAAATAGGCAGGGGTGGGTGTGACTGCACTCCTGGTGTTCTGACATGGTGTGGCTGGTTCTGTGAGGGGATTTGAGTGTTGGGAGGCTCAGCCTGCCTGGGCCTGGGGTGTTTGAAGCAACTCTTTGTGTTTGTTTGAAGGAGACAGAAAGTGAACCCGAGGACAACCTGGATGACCTAGAAAAGCACCTGCGAGAGAAGGCCCTGAGGTCCATGAGGAAGGCGCAGGTGTCCCCCCCCTCCTAGGCCAACCCTTTGATATAATGTACATTTTATTTGGTTTGTACTCAGAATTCAATTTCAAATTGCTAAATGTGTTTGAGCTTTAGAATATAACATTTGTTGTAATAATTGCTAGGTTGAGGTTCACCATGTACAAAGGGCATGGATTTACATTACAAAAGGTGTCCACAGTGTACTAGTGACATTCTTTCATTGACAGTCAGCATAATTTCATTTAGGGTGAGACTTTTTAGAAGCAGTAGGAATTTGTTTTGGAGGTTTTGAAACATGACCGTCAATTCCCTCGTTTCTTTGAAATCCAACAGAGCCTTGAGCAGAATTTGTGAGGGTCTCATTTGACTTCTTTTGTATCACTTACATGATGCTACTAACCTTTGTGGTTTGTAGGCTTGCCCAGGAGTAAAAACCACTGCAGAATTCCAAGGAAATACATCTATTTTAATGCTTTCTACTGTTGCCTGTATAGTCTCCATTAAAGCCAATCAAGAATAGCAATTTAGAGTGGTACATAAATGAAAGCATGTTGTTTACCAGGACACTGTGGGTTTATATTGATGTAACATGTTGATTTGGAACACTGGAATTTCATTTGTATTTTTATGTTCTTTTTTTTAAAGGGCAGTTTCCATGATCAGCAATCCCAGAAAAAAAAAAAAAAGTAATTCCCTCAGTTCCATAAATTTTGTTTGTGAGCTGTCGTTGCCCCATTCATAAATCTTGTCTCGTTACGGTTCTTCRGAATGGTCTGAGCAACTTTCAGAGCTGTGTTCTTTGAAAGTTTAGAGGAACCTRAACTTTGGATATTGTCATGTTTTCACTGTTCTTTGTTTTTGTTTTTTTAACTAAAGCTATATAAAGCTTGTGGATTAAACAAAATAAATTTCTAAATTTAAACAGATGTTGGCTATTTTTATATGGGCATTTACTTTGCTGATCAGCTTTGTTTTGTGCAGGGTTAATGACTTCTCAGAGATGAGAAAGTGTTTGATGTCCTGTSCTGGCTCTGGAAAAATTGGGGCTTTTAACTGGCCTGGGGGAGCAGGAAAAGCTCTTTAATTAGTGCTGCTCATGTGGAGTTTTGCAAAGCAGGAGCYGAGCAGAACAGCCTTGCCTGAAAGGATGGAGAAGCTTAAACGAAATATTTGCTGTGAAAATTGATTGTCAGAGCAAGTGAGGCATTTTAAGATCCTGCAAAAAGTGAACAGCAGGTTTGATTWACTCAGAGAAGGAGCTGTAGTGGTGTGAGAGCTGATCTGAGGAWTCCTGGGGGCTCCCTGCCTTTCCAGAATCACAGAATGGGCTGGCTTRGAAGGAACCTGACAAATCATCCAGTTCCAACCTCCATTTAATCACACTGGAAACTTGCTGGGTTGCTGCCGTGGAATTCTTGTAAGAACTCAAGCTGTGTTTCTGAAATCAGCTCAGTTCTGAAGGCTGAGGCTCCTCTGCAGGGGGAGTGGAGGATGCTTTGGAGTTTTTTTGTCCTGCTCTGCAGTAGATGTGATGTGCAGACTGAAGTGTGGCTTTTGATGGGTCCTTCTYGCCCTTGTGCAGGGTTTAATCTGAGGCAGGATCCTGGCTGCAGGGGARGTTTCAGAGCAGCTCCTTCTGCACTTCCCTTTGTGCTCAATCTTTAATTTGTTCACATAAATATCATTGTGTGCTCAAGTGCCTGTAAASCTCCTCCAGCAGCTGCAGTGTGAGGATCACCTGTTACTCAARTGTCAGTAATAAATCCCAAGAAGCTTCTGGCCAAAGGCATTTTTAAAAGTYCATCTGGGTGAATTTGGTGCTGATGGAGTCACAGACTTGAATTTGGGACTGATCCTCAGTCAGTTGGATTTTCCTGGGGTGCAGGGGTGCAGCTCCCCAGGGTTTAAGGCCTCCTCCTTTATCATCCCAATCTCACTTCCACCTGGGTTTGGTGACCTCGGAGTGCCTTTTAATCTTAGCACTAATAGAAGTTCTTTAAATATATCAGGACCTGAGTCACTGCTTATCTTCCCTCACACCTATTTCCATCTCCTGCCTCCAGGACTGATAAAGGAGCTCAGTGCTGCTTTGGGATGGGCCAGGCCTTCCCTCCACCTCTCCATCCCCCAAGGAGTTTCTGTTGGTGCTCCCTCTGTCTCTTTTTTTCATCTGTCCATAAAGAATTGTTTAGGCTGAAAAAGAGCAAATCAAGAATTTTTAAAATGCCACTTCTAAATTGTGTTTAAGCTAGTATTTAAATTCCTTCCTAGTTACCCAGTCAAGCACTAACATTTCATTTAAATACCAGTCAGGGTATTTTCTTTCTGCCCTGATCTGTCCCTGCTGTAGCCCAGACCCTTTTAAACACAGAATCTCTGCTGGGCTGGTTTCCATCTGTGTCTCTGCTGTTCCCTGACACCACTAAATTCACTGCTGATCCTCTAATTGAACTCCCCTCATCCAAACCCAAACTTGTCTGATCCCTTCCCCACTCCAGCTTCTTGGTTAACCTCTCTGTTTTTAAATCCTTTTATTTGTAGTTCAGAAATGACTCTGCAGGTGCCTGGTGAGATGGGGCAGGAGCTGCTTGGATCTCTTGCTCTCTTTATCCTGGATCTGCTCAAGCTGATTTTGGCTTCTTGACCCAGCCACCTTCCTGAAGTGACAGACACAGGGTCTAGGTAAGGGACTTGCTGCAATAATTGTCTCTAACTCCACCAAAGTTTAATTGGACGGTGCAATTGAAATGGAAGTGAGTCCCCAGGAGTGTGTGAGGCTGAGGTGAGTCACAGGTCAGGCTCTGGAGCTCCTTCTGATGAAAGATGTGTTTGTTGTGTCAACAGGTGGGACAATGGCAGGTGTGTGTGTGCAACAGTTCCAGCCTACAGAAACTCGGGGCTGCATTGTTCAGTTTTTCCACTTGTGTGACTTTGGCAGTTTGCCTGGGGGTGCTGAGGGATTTACCCTGAATTGCCTCAGGACACACAACTGTTCTGCTGCTGCTTGGGCAGGGCTTGGTACTCCCTGAGAGCTGCTGGGGGCCTGGGGATTAATCCCGGGAAGATTCTGTGCCCAGAGCCATCCCCAAAGCTCCCTCATCTGACGCAAATCCTGAGCAGGGAGGGACCTGGCCTTGGAGGGGCAGCTCTGCSCTCTGACTTCATTCCTCCAGCACCAAACTGAATCTGAGTGTGCTGGTGTGAAGGGCAGCTGTGGGAGGAGCAGCCTTCAGAAGGGCATGGAGCTGGATTTTGGTGGAGTTCCATTCCAGCTGTTGTATGTCATAACTTGTARTTTATTATTTAGTACAGGAACATCTCATAAACTTTGATTTGTCTGCTTGAAGTCCACTGTGGATGTCACCAAAGCACTGACAATTCCAGTGGAATTGTTTTTCTCCTAAATCAGGTCTTASTCATTCCAGTAAATCAGAATGATAAAGTGGAAGTAATTCTATCTCTTCCAGGATAATAAAAAGATTATAGAATCTCAGCACAATGGAGTAGGCGGTTGTGTATTCCCAGACTTWAATCAGCAGTTTGACTTTTGAACTTTATGCCGCAATCCTGGATGAGTTCAAAGAGGCTGGAGCTGCTCGAGTCCCTTCAGCTGGGCTGTGAAACAACAAGTGGGGATGGTTCCCACCCCAGGCTGCAGGCAGAGGATGTCCTGTACCAGCCACTCTTATCTGGGCTCCCTCTGCCTCAGAAAYCTGATAGTCCCTGCTTGGAGTCCAGCAGGAACTGGGCTCCTTCCTGCTCTGCCACTCGAGGGGGTGACACACCTCAGCTGCTCTGTACTCTGCATTTGTTCTGAGCCACCTTCTGGGGAAAGAACTTTGCTTTGTTATCACTTGTTTGGTTTAGTTCTCACTTGAGCCAGAGTGTTTCCTTCTGCTGTGAGCGGAGCTCAGGGAGCATCCAACATGGTGCAAGATCTCATGGTCCACTGGTGATGGTTTGTGTTTGCCTCCKTGGCTGCCTGCAGGCATGCTGGCAGTGGTGAATATTTCATATGTCTGACCCTGAGTGTGGATTTAGCCTTGGGAAGGTGTCTGGGAAGAGTGGGATTGGTTTTAATTGCTCTTAAAGTAGTGGAACAACCAACACAGTGAGGGAGATGACCTTCAGAGGGTCCCCAGTTCTTGTAGGTTTGTACCTAAACTCCTCTGCAGGTGCCTTTACCTGTGTCTCACCTGGCTGGGGATGGACTGSAAGCTGTTCCTGAAGGGATGAGGATCAGTTTGCCGTGGAGCTGGGCAGGAGGGTTTGGGGTTAGAGTTTTCCCCATCTGTTATTTAAATCAAGAGCCCCGATGTGCCTCCTCGGGGGTTTGCTGGTGCCTTGTGTGGGGCTGTGCCCGAGCTGTGTGGCTCCAGTGCATCTTCCAGGGACCGAAAACTGTGTGATTCTTCCTTAGCTGGGAGTGTCRGATTTTGTAATGGGAGGTGGCCAAGTCCCGGGGCAGGTGAGTCAGGTCTGACGCCCGAACGGGATCGGGGCGGGGGTGACTCACGGGACAGAGCTGTGTGGGGCCACCTGCGCCCCTTTGTGCCACGTGTTCTGTTTGGGGTTGTGCTGGGCCTGGTTTGGGGTTTGAGATATCCCAAAAATCAGCGCTGCAGGAGAGAACGTGCTGATTCCCAAACCTGGACTGGGGTCAGGCTGTAGCACAGCTCCCCACAGATCAGGGTTTGCCATGTGGGGAGAAGACTCTGAGCCTTCAGTGCAAAGTGTTTTAATCACCAAGTAATTAATTATCTTTGGAGTTCATGTTGTGGCAGGTTCTGTAAGGGCAGTGGGTTCTCCATTGGGGATGGAATTGAGCAGTGAACACCTCCCAGGGCCGGCTGTGGGGTCAGGAGCCGTTCTGAGCTCCCACAGCCGCTCCCTGGCCTGAGGAGCTGCGCGCAGGAGGGTGCGGGGTCCGGAGCGTCCTTCCTCCCACACAAAGGCAGGATGCGGCCGCCCCCCGGGCAGCTCCGGCATCAATGGGGCTTTGTGGGGCCGGAGCCGCGTGTGCAGGGCCGGGATGGGGCCGGGATGGGGCCGGGAGCAGCGGGGCTGCCGCTCCCAAATCCACCCCGCTGGATCAAACCCCGGCTGTGTGCGGAGAAAAAGAGAGGGAGCTGCTCTGGAGGATCCTAGACAGCTCTTTGCAGCTGTGAGAGAGGAGCGGGGCTGATCCTTGTGCTGATCTGGGTGTGGGGGGCGATGCTCTGAATCCCTGGGAAGTTTGGGATCCTTGTGTTGCACTTAAAAGAAAACACGGAAAACAGCTGTCCTGGGAAAGCAGCGCTGGGGGAAGGGAATGGTAGGGAATTGTTGGGTTCCTCCACAGAGCCTTTGTGTTCAGTGCAAGGGCAGAGCTCGTGTAAAYTGTTGTGGCTATGGAATAAATGGAATTGTGCTGCTGCTGTCAGCTGGGCAATGCCCCTGGAGAGGAGGGTCAGCGTGAGGGGCCAGGCTCTCCAAGCACGTGCAGTCCTTATCTGCTCAGCCAGCCTTTCCTCTGGCCCACCCTGACCTGTGCTGCTGCCGTGTCCTGCTCCGGGCTGGCCCCAAATGCACAAACCTCGGCTGCCTCTATGGGATCTGACCCACATAGGGTGGGAGAAGGGAATGTCCATGGGGAGACAGCCTGGGAAGCTCTCAGGAGGGTGTTTACCTATGGGGGCTTTATGTAATTCCTCATTCAGGCTTCAAAACTCGAGCTTTGGGTGAAACTAAAGCCGGCAGAACAGTTGTGAGAAATGTGGATCCCTTGTAGGAATAATCYCCCCACGCTTCCCCTCTCCAGGAGGGAGGAAGCTCCCATTAAAAATGGATAAGTCTCCCCGTCAGCTGGATTTTAATTCAGCAAGTGGATTTGACTGCTGATGTGAAAAAAATTACCTTTGTCACCRTGCTGATATTTTTTTAATGA